GCAGGAATGAAAGCAATTTAGGGGTTACAGAATTCACACCTAAACTATGTTAGGACACGTGAAAACTTCAGTTACATCTACCTGTGACTCTGCCAACAGTATGAAGCTGGTTGACCCATTCAGACAATATACAGAAGAAAACAGTGTGCTTGAGAAGTCCTCCCAAAGCAAAACTGGGTAATGTGCCACTTCACTGCAGTCCTTCACTGTAAGGTCTTAATGTCATATTTCTCAGAAGACTTTTTCTCCTTAAACAGCTATTATACAGGAATGAAGCTCCGTAAGTCGTCTTGTACTTTACTTCAGCCCTATCTTTAATGAAGAGGTTAGTTTTTCTTTGAAAGTTCAAATGTTTTACATAAAAAATAATTATCAATTACAGGCAAATTTAGGATCTAGTTCAAGAAGAGAAGGACAAACAATGCTGTTTTGTGTCAACAAAGTTTCTAAAATAATTTTCTGTAAAACTAAACTTGTAGGAGGTCAGATGCAGCCCAAAGCTGAATGGGGTATCTTTGAGTTTGTACTTTGCACAGGAAACTGCTATGAGAAGAGAGATGTGGAAGCTTTTTGCATTCCAAGTAAATTGACACTGATACACTGTGCATTCATATGACATATGCAACAATTCAAATTTTGAGTTGTCCAGAAAAATTATTCCTAATTAATCCCTGATGATCACAAAAGCAGCTCTTTTATTTTCAGCTATTACCATGGAAAAGCCTTTTCACAGGACAGTGAAGACTAGAGCCTCAACGCCAGAATGAGCCCAGACTACAAGGAAAAAAGTGACATGTAGAAAGCATACTTTCAAGATACAGATAGTTCATACATAAACAGTCCATGTATGGTCTGAGCTCACCCAGGAAGTGCTAATTGCTTATTGCTGAAGTGATTATTGCCTTACCTTTTTGTAAAATTAGGGAAGAATCACCACGAGTAATTCAGAAAAAAAGCTGGAATGCAGTGGTACTAAGTAATCCTCTAGCAGAAACATGGAGAGAAAAAAAGTCTTACAAACTTTTGCCTTTTAAGGGCTATAGAAATTGCGTCAGTACGATAAGGTACTATACTTTCATTTAAATAATGTCTATGTAAAACCTAAACCGTCGTAAAAATTTCCAACTAGTTTACTGAAAGCGTGGTCAACACTGTACTTGGGAGTATCTATAAATAGATTACAATCATGCGATTTAAGACCAGATTTTGGAATGTGAAACACAGAGTTATGTCACCAAGCACAGGTCATTGTCCTGTTCCTTCCAGCAAGAATGCTGCTATCAAGAACATTTCATGCTCAGATCAACTGCGCATTTAAGTATCACTTGCTTTCAACACCCGCTGAATAAAAATAGAAGGGGACAACAGAGAACGCTAAAAAGGCACACAGTAATTTAATAACGTATTTTTAATCTGCTGGCCCTCCCCTTGTATTTCCTGCACAATCTATGCTAATGCAAATTTCAGCACCAACTTCAATGAAGCCAGAATTTAATCCATGGAGAATGTCCAAGAATTTTAAAAGTGGAGGGTAAAACACAAGCTCAGTGGCCAAAACTAAAGAAATAAAAAGATAACAAAGAATATCATCTGCCTGAATCCTAGCATGCATTTTGTCTACATTAACTCCATTATCTTAAAATGAGACATTTGTGTCAACTTTCTTTTAAATAGTATTTCACAGTCACTTAACCTCTTTGACTCACACTTCAGCATCTGTATAAAATGGGAGAATAAAAACCTATTAACTCATGGAAATACTGTGAGGATGCTTAAAGGCATGCTGCTCAGTACTACTTGATCTGAATATTAATTTATCTACATGCTCATTAGCTTCCTTCCTCTCAATATTTTTGATTTCATAACAAACTACATTAAAATTTTAAAATGCAAACAATGAAGTCTTTTAATTGTACAATACATGCTCTAAACAGTACGCAGTATCAGTATAACCCCCCACTTTGACAAATCTTGTTATGGTTTTCTAAAGAGTTTTATATGGCTATTATTGTAATTTCAAGTTTTCCTTGCTAACTTTTCTCACACAAAATCATATAAAAAATATCTTAAAAAGAAACTGAAAGCAACCTCCCTCCCCCATTTTATCTATTTGGCCTATTACCTTCTCAAAAAAGGAATTTAAATTGACTTAATCTCTTCTTAACTGACAGGTTTATATTGCATTTTGTAGAGGTCTAAATAGACAACTGACTAGTACGTTCTAACTGAAAATGAAAAAATTTATGCTGGTCTGAACAGAGTGCATTCAGAAGATCAGGTTTTTATGTAAGTGCTTACAAAAATTCAGCAGTCAGTGTTGAACAGTGCAGATGAGTAATCCTCTACAGGTGACTAATTCAGTGATTATTGAGTGTTCATGTTGATAACAACCAGATCAATTAACATTTAACAAGCAGAGCTCTTAAAAAGTATCAACAGATTTTTAACTACTGGCAGAAAGAGAAGAAAGCATCATGAAAAATGAAAAGTAAAATTACAGGATATTTTGAATAGTTCTGTTAACCAACTTAAATTCCTGAGGCACTGATGAGTTATTTGTCTCCTTCACTGATCTGTGAAACAGCTCTGCAATAACATCCCACAGAGATGAGCTTGTTGGTTCAAGATACCTTGAAAACTATACCATCTAGTCACATACCAGTCTACTGGTTCAAAAAAGGAAAATCAAGATTGGATAAAATTCAGGAGAACCTCATGCCTTCACCAGTAGCAACCCGCATCTATTGAGACTCTCTTTCAGGTACTTCTTTCTCTTGCACGTAGAATTCCATATGCTTGACAGATTGTAAGGGTCACTGACAAAGCCATTCAAAAAACTGCCTTTGTTTGTTTGTTTTGTTACTTAAAGTGTTAAATCTAAAAACTGATGCTGGTTGCTTATTTAAGTAGTCAAGGCTGCTAGTGGCATGCAGTCTTACCGACGATGTATTTGTACCAGAAGACTTTCATATAATCAGCATTTATGAACTAGCTTCGTGTTCCCTTGAACTTAATTTGAGCATCTTTTCCTCCCTCATAACTGATCCAAGATTACAACAAATGCTTCCAAATCAGTAAAATGTTCTAATTTACTAATCTTGCAAAGCACTTTCAGTTTAAAGACATCAGACTTAAATCATACTACTACCCCACTCCATTCATCTGCAGATTCAAGAAATTCCAATACTGGAAATCAATTTTTATGCCTGAAAAACTGACCTAAGGATTTTATGCCACGGTGAAGCATGTTCTGTCATTGTTAAGAAACTGGTATCTGCAACTTCTAAATGATATTGAAATGGAAACATGAGAAAACAGAATATCAACTAACAGTTAATAACACTTGAAAACACAGCAGTTATGTGATGGCAAGCTCTGGTGTGTGTTAAGTGAATCAGGAAAGCAAGCAACTTAAATCCTCAGAAGCTGATTCTTGCATCCTCTTATGCAAAGATAGAATTTTTACTTCCTGATGCTTGCAAGGTTTTTTCTGAGGTATTCCTTTCCTATCTGATTGACTCTATCATGATCTTGACTCTAATGATTTTATGTCACCTAAACAGGAATAAACACAGGTTCCCAACTAACGTTATTTTTATTTCCTAAACTCAAATATTTACAAGTGATCAGACATGTCTGTATAGTCAAGGACAGGAACTTCTAGACAATGCCCATTTCCTGTAAAATGTAGCTGCTTCTTAAGTGATCCTGGCATAAAGCACTGACCTAACAAAAGCAATCACAATTTCCTTCTTTATTTGGACCCAGTAACTATATAACTGGCTACAAAAGAATTTTTCTTCACATCAAGTAACAGTTCACATTTTTTCAGGATCCAAAGCAGAACTGCAGTTATGATTTGCAAATGAAATCACCGTTTTTTAGACTCAGTTGTAAAGTAAATCTTTGCTTTTTCATATCTCAGATTATTACCAAAACAGAAAAGCATTTAGCAAACAGTCATGCATGTGTACATATGAGATGTTAAAAGCTCAACTGATACACTACTTGAATTTCCGAAGACCACATCCCACGGAGAGCTGATAGGCTGTTCTTCTCCTTTTGCTCCACCTTCCATATCAACACCTTGTATTCCAATGCCTGCTACGGTGGTCACCATCTCTAATTCCAGGTCAATCTACAAGAAGCAAAACATTAACTTGACTAAAGTTACAGATTCTTTGAGCTACTTGTCAAAACCAGAGAGTTTTTGCTGAAAAAAACCCCAAATCCTAACAAATTTCAGTTATTATGTAGGAAAAGAATTCATTTTGGTGCAATGTTTGCCGATGGGAGGGGAGGGGGATGCAGGTAAACCACATGCCTGGAATTCCCTTCCACAGGCAACAAAAATTAACGCTGATCTGTCAAAGTGTCAGCAGTTGTAGAAGAAAGCATCAACATTTTCTAGAGATATACTCAGATGGACAATGGATGTGGATGTTTTATATTAAACTTCTATACAAATATGACATAAAAATACAGATACTGTAACACTATCTCCCATCTCTATACAAAATGATCTGTACAAAGCAAATTATTTTTGCAGTTTATTTCATGTCCTGAAGCAAAAAAAGTTTTAATTTCATTTCATTTCATTTCTGCTACCTAAATCCCATTATTTTTCCTTCCTCTTTTGCTTATTCTCCAAGTGACTTCCATTACCTATCATGAATTTATTGTGATGATCATGTAAAAAAGGAGTCTTTCAAGCATAACATCTTCTAACTTCTGTAGCAGTAAATGCATTCTTTTTGAAAGACCCATGGCCTGCACAAACATTTGAAAGCATGTCCTGTAGCTGCTGTATTACTTCAATTCTTGGATACCCTCATGGCACATTTAGATGAAATGGAATGGCTAATTATGAAAAATGCTGAAACAGTATGATCCAGATCTTCAGATGTTTCTGTGTTGTCTTTGCTACCTGCAACACTTAATTTCCTGCAGTCATCAGGCTACAGTGATGAGTATTAGTAAAATGAGGAATCTGGAGCAAACTACTCCTCTTTTCAGTAACATTGTTTCTTTACCAACAGGGAGCCTCGGTCCTTTCCAGAACAAAACCTGGTAACCAACTATGATGAATACAGTGCAGGGAGTTTGTGAACTAATACTCTGAAGTGAAACACAGAATGAACCTACTTAACAGTACAAACGCACCCCAAATTGAGTAAGGATATACCTCCTCTGATCATGAATCAGATATATTGGTGAGGATCTGAGTATAAGAGTTTCTGAGATGCATACAATACTTTTAATAATAAGGTAGTATTATATTGTTTCAACAAACTTAACTTCAGATTATTCTAAATTTGACCTAGCCAAACGTAAGCTCCAATGGCAACTTATATATAAAAGAGGTAACATTCTTACATGCTAAAACCTAGCAAGTATATAATGAAAAATATCCACATGCAGACAATTCTTAAATAAAAGTGGTTAGTCTGTACTTTAGAGATCCAAACAGCTAATGAAAGTTTAGTTATTCACTGAACCACAGTAAGTACAATAACTTTAGATAAGTATCTGATACTACTGGAAGTGAAACAAAAATAATTTTTGCTTCCCGAAGTAAGAACAGATGTTTCTCAACAGAAGAGTCACTAGAAAAAAAAATCAGTTCTGCTAGAATGAGTAGCCTATATTATCTTCATTTTAAAAGAAGCACAAAAGTATCTGTAAGCTCTCTAAAAACCAAACTGCACAAGAGCATTTATTTATAAGATATTGGGACAATTTCCTTCCTGATATTGAGGGTGTTAATTTGGTGTAAATTTTCACCTGCAAGTAGAATAAGACAAAACAGACTAAATTTTGAATTTCCTTATGGAAGATTTACCTTTCTAATTAGGTGATTTTCTGTATCAGCTACATAAATAACATCATTTTTTATAGCAATCCCTTGAGGTGAGTTGAAAGCTGCCTCTGAAAATTTTCCATCTCTCCTTCCACTGTTTGGACCTGTAAATGAAACAAAGCAAACTCAAAAGTAATTCTAGAAAAAAACCAAACAACAAACCACCCTTAAAAATAAAGTGCATACATTTAAACCCGTAAGAGAATGACATGTTCTAAGAGATGCTTTTGCAGCACCTTGTACAGTTTACAGTATTAATATTTTGTGTAGTCTCATTTTAGCCACTGTGCTATGAAATGATAACAGCCTGATGCTATTAAGTTTCGAACTCATTCTCCACAAGTTCTCTGCTTCTTTAAGTTCATCTTCCAAACCCAAGTCTTAACAGGGAACTAAATTCCTCCTGTTCCCTTGCACTAAAGGACAACAATTAAATAAACAAAACCAGCATCTTTTTCTCTTCCTGAATACATCAAAGCAAGCCAGCAGAAAAAACTTTAAATTTCAAAACTCAATTCCATTTCAATGGTTTCGATTTTAGTGTAATCACAAATGAAACTAATATCTGATTAGCAGCATTTTCTCATTAATAATTAGAAAAAAATGCCATGGTACTGATTACACAAAAAAGTGAGAATGATGGAGTGACAGTCTTCTGTACAGAAAATCAAGAAATAGAAAGGAACATGACCCGAATATAACAGTATGAAGGTAAGCATCGTATTTCAGAGGGAGTAACATTTAAAGTGCATTAGCAGTATGTGTCAGCAGAAGACATTTAGATACGAGTGATGCGTGCCTCATGATTTATGATGCAAATACAATAATTTCAACCTTTGTGCATGCCCACATTTATTACTGTCTTGTCAACTTCATTAGATTATTTTCTGCCCACTGAATTAACTGAGTCATTGAAATACACAAACTTCTACAACCTACTGTCAGAAAACAAGCAATTTAGCCCTTATCAGACATGAAGGACTCAGGTGCTGGTGTGTTAGATTTCAGCAGTTCCCCTTGGCAAGTGTCAGGGTGCACATCCCCAGGGAAAGGAATAGCACAGTGCTACAGGAAGGAGAGTTCCAGTTCAGAGGGTAGGACACTTCCCTCTGAATTGCTGTTTAATGACTACCCCAGGACACTAAAAGGTAGCTTGTTGACAGAGACTTCATCTCACCTATCAAACAGAAACCAAATTCTTTCACTTTCGTCATAAGAAATCTGTTTGTTCTTCCCCCAGGAGATGGGTATTAAGACTAATGCCTTTAACCAGGTTAATTAGGCCGTCTATCCAATGCACTGTTGCTGCAAATAGCAAGAGATTTTCTTCTTTTCTTTAAACAGCAGTGCCACTGGTGTTTTCATGAGGTTTGTAGGATCCTGCCATAGGACAGGCATTAGTCAATACCACACTGAGTAATATAGGAGGCATCAGCATACAGGTCATGACTGGGAGACATAAATGAATCATCGTTTTCAATGTTTTGGGGATTCAACCACTTCCTTAATCTGTCTATTAGGTTGCTCACAGGTAGATTATCCTAACAGCTAAGTACCTGGTGCATTAAGATGTAACTTTGACCACCGTAACAAGTTAAAAAAAAGAACAAGTCTGAATGTTTCATTTATGAAAGAGGAAAGCACACAAAGAGCATGCAAATTTTCTTGATTGGCACGGTAAAGCAGACAGTAGTTTTACAGAAACAGAGAGACTCATATTTTAAAGCTGAAATGTTACTAATATAAACTTTGTAACAAATGTAACTAAATTTAAAATCCTTAACTTTCACTATTTTCATGACTTGTTTATATGATACACCTCAATTTTGATGAAAAGATGGGCCTTTTTATATATATTAAGGCAACTTCATTTTCACATGTCTATGTACTAGTGCCATGTCCTTAATAATTCTTCCCCCTCTAAAAACCAGAAGGAGATCCTTTCCTATCCTTCACTTTAAAAAACCGAAAACAACAACTAAACAAAAAACACATCCCAAAAACCTCCCCACACAACACTACCACCATAATTCAGCACTAATTTCTTCTTTTGGAAGAGGAGGTATCACTGTCTCTTTTCTTTTCCCTATCTTGCTGCTGGATGTGGATGTACATCACTTAAACTTAAATACATTAGCAGCTCTTTCAGAATACAACATTTAAGTTTTGTAATTCATATTAAACATCACAAAAATAAAAACTTAGTCAATGGAACAAAGGAAAAAAATTATAAAAGAATTCTGACAATGCTTATGAACTGGTCCTCTTAAGGAAAGAATCAGCCTAGTAGGCCCAGAAAACATACTCTACTCCTAAACTTAAATTACTATAATACACTTACACACCCTTACCTCCAATAGCGTGTAGAATTTGTCCATTTTTTCGAGTAACCAAAATCCTGTGATGTCCAGTGTCTGCTATTACCAGCCTTTCTCCTGAATGATCTACGGTCACTTTGCCAGGAAACAGCAAGGGAGAAGGTGGGAGGGAGTCTCTGTATAGCTTTATTCCAATGCTGTTATTTTTGATTTGTCCTGTTTCCTTGTAGAATTTCAGTGTTATAGAAGTGAATAAAAACAACTTCTCTCTGTGTCCCTCTCCAACAAGTGAAAAGAGCATGTTTCCACGAGGGCCAAGAATGACCAGCGTTGGCCAGCAGGACACTTCTAGCTCATGCCACAGCGTTGCATCTGAATCATTTACTACAGGGTGGACAATATTATACCTCAGCACAGCACTTTTAATGTTATCCAGAACTTTTTCATTTGGGAATTTCGCTGAATGGACACCAACAATAATAAGACCATCTGAAAGGAAAAATAAAGTTGTGCATTGAAATGTATTTGAATAAAAAAAAGTAAAAATGAGACACGGTTATCTCACAATGTGACTGACTGCTTTCCAGAATGAAAGCGGATTTGAACAAATAAAAAGCAATTACAGCTCAGTAGTAACATAGATGTGTACGTATACAAAATACTGAAACTCAGAAATACACTTCAGTAAAATTACTGAACTTTAGGACCCTTACTTCCCCAGCTGGTTGACATTTAATGTGTCAGAAATTGTTCATAGTTCCTGAACCTCTACATACTAAGGTAGAAAATACTTTCAAAATAATTATGGGTAAAGTTGTAGCAGTTCAACTGATACTTCGGGGCTTTTCAGACTTCTTTGTCTGGTTCCTGGAGGAGAAAGAGGATTAAATTACAGATTTTTGCCCCTCTCATTAAAATTTTTAACTTAATTTCTCTATTTGGTTAGTTAATGAAGACAGTGAAGAGTTTAGGTTTTGCCATAGCAGGGATAACTGCATTTGAAACCCTAGTATGAAGGTGTTACGTAAGCATAAAGTAATATAATTCTGCTTATACACACTGCATACATAATACCAGCTTTAAAATCAATCAGAAGCACACAACTGTGAACTTTCTTGAATTGCTTACTTACTTGCTTAGTTTTATGAAATTCAAATACAGAAATAAAAATCTATGACTCAGACTTCAGCTGCTTTTCCCTTGTGATAAGAAAGAAATCTTCTGCTTCCATGTAGACAATTATGAAAGCAGCCCCGAATTTTCCTCTCCCTCTTCCTACCCTTCCTTCAGTCAAACCACTATTCAGTACTTTCTAGGGGGAGGAAAAAAAAAAAAAGAGGAAAAAGCACCCTATATCCTTTTTCAGGGTTTTTAATGTTTTACCAGCGCAACTTCTACCAAATGAAGTCAACTGTGCACATGGCATCAATATCATACTTTGCCTCGCTTTGGACTTAGAGAACACTATTAGCCATAAGCATAATCTTGTTATAGTCAAAGTAACTTGTCAACTCAAACTGAAGTAAGACAACAGCAGTAACCATGCAGTTGTAGAAAGCTGCAACACAATAATATAAAACCAGAACTGTAAATCTAATGGAAATCCTTAGACATTAATGTTACTACTTACCAAAAAATCACTTGTGTTTCTGGATAGTCCAGGTGTTTTGTAACCACAAAGAAAAATTGGAATCTTTCTACTTCTGTGTACAAATAAGTTCTAAAGCTTCCTGTGATCTTTTGTGTCATTTTGAGGATTGAAATTAAATAGGAAAGGAAAATATCCTTAGAGTTGACATCCAATTTGAGTTAACTTTACTGCAGTAGTAGAAATCATTGATTTTGACAATAATGAAAAAAAGCACTTTCTTCCCCGCCCCCCCCCCGAGTCTTGTCTATAAAAACATTTAGCATCTGTAAACCCTCTTATCAGTATCATTCAAATACCTTTGGAATTTCCTTCCTTCCCCAAGTCAAATAATACCAAAAAGCAAAGAAGACTTGGAGTTTGTACAGTGGCATGGAGGAAGAATAGCCATTATCCAATCTAACCCAATTCTGATGATGCTTATACCCTGAAATACGACGAATGCAGATCCTTGAAGAATTTAATAAGTTTCTTAAATCAGGCTAATTTGTGCTCGCATGAACACTCATTGCAATTGAAAATGATGTATTGTGCTACTAAAGACAGAACAGGTTTGGTTGAATAGCCATTAGACTTAGATAAGCAGGATACAATTTAGTTAAAAAGGATAAGGGCAGATGTGCAATGTGAATCTCTGAGTAAGCCAGTTCTGTTAGTTGTTGCTTACTCTAATATCGTTATGCTCTATCCTAAACAACAGCCAATGGAAATAGCCCTCCTGAAAGGACATTTGTCTGGAAAAAAAACAATTTTAAAATAAATGGCCTTTTAAGAAGATTTGAGAGCATGAACTGTTTCTGTTACTTGTAGTAGCAAATACTTAATTTCTAGAAGGCAATTTTTTTCTCATTCACAGATAACCGTTTGTTACAACAGGAAAAGACTTCATTGTTTATCATGAATCTAACCAGAACGTAACCTAAATATTTCCAATCACCTTGCTAGCTCCTAACAGTGGATAGACCAGTAACCCTCTTTCCCCCAGTTTTTTTCTCTTCACTCTTCCAGTTGCACCTGCCGTTATCAAAATCCAGAATTAGCTCTCTGAGCAAAGCACACACAAAATAACTTTTTGCAGCTTGCATACCACACTTTTCTCCTTACTAAAGAAAATAATTTTATTTATTTGGCATTCTGGCATTTTATTTTTTAATCCACAAGAAGCGTACTTTATTTTTTCAGTAATGCACCTATCTTATACATTTTATTGCATGTAGCATCAACTGTCATGTGCCACACAATTCATTCTAAACTGGAAATTTACTCATCAGATCATTACTGTTATTTGGCATTTACTACCTAATTCATTAAAGGGCTTCACTGTTTATAAAACTTTAAGTACATATGTAAAAAAAAACCAGCCCTCCAAAAGCCCTGCAGTTAGAATCAGTGTGAAACCAGCCTTCTGATCAGAGGCGGCCTGAACCAGGACCCAAAAAGTAACAACTGTAAACAACTGCATTCAAGGACGTGCTTTGGCATGGAATGTAGGATTTGTTTTTATGCTTTTCTCCTACCTTTACGGTAGAGGTGCAATCTGGCTAGCTGGACATCTTTGTTCTACCTCTCACCTCTGGTTTTGTGGTAGAAATCTAAGAAAGGCAATTATTTCAGGACTTAAATAGTTGTATTATTTAAGCTCAGATGAGTTTGTTTCCTTCTAATAAAACTAATTTAATCTTAGGTTAGCTTTTTATTCAGTCACAAAGAAATGGAAAAGTATTTTTCTCTTTTACCCCTTCTCCTCAACCATAAAACAGTGTGAATGGAAAAGAACAACGTCAGTGTGACAACAGGAAGGGGTAAAATGCTGCACAGTAAAAGACTTAGTTGAAATAACAATTTCACAGATACAGAACTTAAAAATTACTGTAACTGATACAGTCATTATCAATCCTACAGACACAGCGTGTTGCAATACAGACAGCTGAAGTAGTAGTATCATTAACTGTTGAACTCCAAAAAGCAGGTCAAATATTTTAACTGCAATAGGAGCAACAGCAGCACTTATATTTGTCCTTCAAAAATTTCATAAGAACTAGAAAGACAATTCTATACTGAACACCTGAACAGTGATAACATCCTCTCATGAAGAAAACTCTTGTGGAAGCTGACGGGCGCTATGCTGAGCTAGAAGAATACGCACAAACGCTTTATGTGAAGGATTATAACAGAGCACAACACTGGACTTACGCCAAGCTATTTCTGAATATTAAAAAGTACTGCCTCTTATAGAAGTCATTTCTGGACTGCTGATAACGTGAACTGAATATGCACTGGGGTTTAAAATAACTTTCTGAATGCCACTTGAAACACAGAAATAGCACCGCTGAAGATAGCACTGAGAACGTATCAGAGAAAGATGCTAGGCAACATTTAATTCTATGGAAAGCAGTCTTCATTTTGAAACAAATCTCCTGAAGTTCCAGACAACAGAACTACATGCATATGTACCACGATTTATGTAATGGTTTAGGAACCTCCTAAAACTACACCTTCTTGTTTTCAGACTTCTCATGTCTGATGATCACACTTAGCACAGCAAAGAAAGATTAAATAATCCTGACAAGATACAGTCAGAAGATGAAAACAGAAAAGAACCAAAAGGGAGATCTCTAGTGAAAAAAAAAGTTAATTTCTTTGTTTGAACCATCAAGCATCTTAATCTCTTCCTGAATCCAAACGCAATCCTCTCTTTCCTAATGGATTAAATTTAAGATTAATGTGTACATTAATCTTAAACACACACCTGCTCTTCTTTCCTTTTACCTCCACCTGTTTTTCCACTTTCATCCCAAGTATAACTTTTTTCACTCCAGTTCCTTCAGGAGCAGGATAGCTCAAATGTAAAAAGAATTTATCACCTATCAGCACAGTACTTTTCCTATGACAGGAAGTTTAATGCAAATCAAACAAAACTGTGTCTCTAAGCAGACCTCCAGTTCAATTCAGGGTGCTGCAACCTCTTCTACACCAGTATACAGATGTTAAAATACTTTAAAGAGAAAGCTTGTGGGTAGAGGTTGTTGAGATGAATATTTTGTTATCAACTGATTTAACAGCTTAGTCTTAAAAAACAGATCAAGGATATGATAGCTGTATTAATACAATAACACTATACTACAAAATGTTTATCATTTAAAAATATTATTCATTATATGATCAATGTAATCTTCTGAAATCTCAGTCTAGACTTTCTTCCCAGCATGCTTGATATCCAAAGCAGCCCATTTCTCATTTGCTAATCAACTTCCACTTAAAACTGCCTCCCTCTCAAAAAACAAAATGCCATAACAGTTTTTTCTTATTAGATAAAGTTCCTCATAACTAAAAGATCTCAAACATCTCCAAAGCAAACAGCTAAGCTTTTCAAGGTAGAAAAAATAGTTTATTTGAGCCTTCTGTAAAGTGCTATGCAAATCTACAATATATAAAGGTGTCTATAAGAAAGCTGGGGAAGAGCTGTTCACACGGCCACATAGCGATAGGACGAGGGGTAATGGTTCTAAACTAGAAAAGGGCAGATTTAGGTTGGATATTAGGAAAATGTTCTTCAATATGAGGGCGGTAGATCACTGACACAGGTTGTCCAGAGAGGTGGTGGAGGCACTGAAGGTCAGGCTTGATGGGGCTCTGAGCAACCTGATCTGGTAACATTGTCCCTGCTCACTGCAGGGGGGGTTGGACTGCCTGATCTTCAAAGGGCCCTTCCAACCCAATGCATTTTATGACTCTGTGATAAGCAAACTACTTAAAGAACTTGAAATTATAAAGACATCGTAATATCTTTTCCTAGTGAAAGAAGGTAACACACGAAAACAAACGCTGCCAAAATTAAAATCAATCAGAAATGCCAACAGAGAAATAGACACTTAAAAATTATACGATAATGTATTTATTAAATATATCATTATATACTGAAATATTTTTAGGGCTTAAAGTAACACTCACTCATCTCACTGTTCACTCTATTAAAATATCCAAGATAAGTGAGTAGCTGATACATTCTAAGACCACAGCTTATCTTTGACAAGTCATCATGATGACAAGAGACTGCATTCTAAACAGTAATTACTCTACATTTTTATTCACTCGAAGAGAGAGAGAGAAGATTACATTTCAGATGTGAATTTAAAGACCTTATTTCCCTTTCCAGAATACAGGCCTACTAATGGTATATAAGGTGCTGCCAAAGTGAAGAAAAAAACCCGAACCAACCTTAAACCAAGCTCACATAATCCATTATTTCACTTAGAATGGAAAAAACCCCAAGCAATCTTAACTGTATCCATTCTACCAACTTTATTCTGCTCAGTGTCGGTTCCTAAGTCAACTGTAGAGGGTTACATACTTATATTAACACTGAGCTTGTAGCTTTTTGCAAATAGCCTTATTTATGAGGATATCAGATTCGGGCTTTAAACACATATCCTGTTTCTTTAATTATACAGACACAACAGATACCTTATTTAACCCCATTTAAAAATGTGATGGGAGTATACATCGTCACCTTTTTTAGGCTACTTAAAAGATTAGAAGACATTTTTAGGCACCCCTGAAATTTTGCCAGCTGTTTAGTAACCAGCAACAAAGTGACTCAGCTACTCCGCCTGCAACACTGCCAGGAAATTCTATTCCAAGCAAGCCAAAGCACTTTTACCTTTATCAGAGTACTCTTGCTCTAATGCGTGGAGATCAGGCAGCAGGTGCAAGCAGTTGATGCAGCAGTACGTAAAGAAATCCAACACCACAACTTTTCCACAAAGGTCTTTGTGGAGAGAAATAGGACCTTCAGTGTTTAACCATTGTAGATCTGGAATGCAGAGAACAGTGATATCCAGTCAGGGGAAGGGCAGAGAACGGCAGACACACCTAATTTGTACACCACTACACCATGCTTCTGGTACATTTCACTTAAAAGGGTTCAACACCCCTTTCTATGCAGGCAGAAAAGCAAACCCAAAGTCTTATGTCTATCCAGCTCATTCTTATATTCCACAATACTTCATAATCAGTAAATGAAAAGAAATATTATTAACAAGATTTAATGTAACACTGAAAGTGCAGTTTACATATTTAAACAGGTACCTTTTATCTGAAAGAATATGCAAGCCTCAGAACAATTTTTATCTATTTTAAAACATGATCTACATTATTCAATCCCTAACATTTTCATATGGGTAACAACTAATTATTTAAAACTCGCATAAATACTAGTAGACTAAGAAACTGTTAAAGTCTTAATAATTTATCCAACAATTTTGTAAGGAACTCATTTCAGAGATGATTGAAGTATTTTGGTGTTTATAGTTTTGACCTTGATTTTCAAGTTTGAAATGACAGATATAAGTTAATCCTGTTGCATGGGAAGAAATACAGTCTCTTCAGATACAGCTGGTTGTACTACTCCTGGTCATTTATTTTAACTACTTGATATGGGACACGAACACATTCTTTTCTCACTGGTAACTGATATTATTCTGATCCCATTAGAAACTGGTATCAAGACAAGAAATAAATGTCCTAGAATATGGTTTGCTGTTATTAGCACTTAACATTTCCGAAAATAAGGGGAGGGAAAGATAGATGTGATACAATGCAAAACTGAACTAGATTTCTGAAGGCCTATTTTTTAAAAAAATGTGCTGACTAATCTAAAAATCTTCAAAGCTTCCACTCTGACAGTTTCAGCAAACTAAGTTCTCATTACCCCAGAAGCTATTGCTGCTGAACTCTGTAGGAGGCTTTATTTCTGTTTCACTAAGAGGAGTATTAATCTCTACCCCCATATATTTAAAAACATAAATGGATGCACAGACATTCAGACAATGAGAATAATTTCAAATGTATGCACTATTTCCACAGTATAAGGGCTTTACTGTTTACTTTTTAAAAAAAAAGAGTGGGTTGGTTATTTTACAGCATTGCTTCTCTTTTCACTAGAACTAAAATACCTTTCATAAAAAAATACTGGAAATTAAGAACGTTGGTTACCTATTTGAGCTCATTTTAGACGAGAAAATAAGCTTTGATGGGACACAGAAAGTGAAATACTACTAAAGACAAAAGTGAAAATTCAATTCAGGGGTCCAGATCTAGACAGAAAGAGCATTAACTTTGCTCCATTGGTTAAAATTCACTTCCCTGATACACATGTAATTTTAACCCTGAAGTTTCTCTCCTGAGGCCTTGCAGTCAGATGTGAACTCCCACAGTTGCAGAGAGCCTCACTAAGGTTAAAAGGACTCTGAGCAGTATTTGCAACATCTTGCAAGACTTAACCTTTGCTTTCACATTTAGCACAAGAAGAGATATAGAGATGTGTGAAAGAGAAATGGGCACACCACTGGAGGAGGATGACATCTCCAGCATGGTTTTTATCACCAGGGACACGAAAACAGACAAGCACAGGTCAGTCATGGGGAGAGAGAGTTGGGAAATATCCTAAGCGGCTGCAGTGAAACCAAGGGAGCTCAGGAGAGAGCTGCCAGAGTTGGTAAGGTTCTCACTCTGACCAGATGAGAGATATCAACACCCTGTACAGAAGCAAAGACTTTATTTTAAAAAAGCAAATTAATGAAAGAAAAGGTTTTTGCAACCAGAGGCACGAGAAGCATTTGAAAAGGGGTTCCTTTTCTTGCCCTTCAGTCCTGGTGCTTTCAGGAGTGCCATTTCCTGTAACTAAAGTGACTTTTAAAAATAAGCGGCAAACAGGGCCGTAATTATACGACCCTCTCAGACTGCAGGACTTCAAGGGAAACGCCAGACGGTGAGCATTGGAGCTCAGCCACCTCCACCAGGGGAGACCCTGAAGCCACCCGCCCGGCGGGACCGGGACGCCGAACCGCGCTCTGCCGCGGGGCCTGACCCGCTCGGGCCCTGCCACCCACCTTCGCCGAGCTCGGGCACCGTTAGGTCCCGCTCCCGGCTGTCCATCTTCTTCAGGTACTGGTAGACCAAGTTCTCCTTCTCCTGGGCAGAGTCGGCGTCGAGCAGGGCGTATTCCAGCTGGGTCTGGGCGGGCAGGAGCCCCGCCAGGCCGCCTGCCGCCATGACGCTTCCTGGGTTGTTTACCGGCCTGCCGTTTCACTGCCGCACATTCGGCACTGCCCGCAACGCAGGGGAGGAAAACTGTAACTCAGTAATAATAATTTAAAAAAATAAACGAAAATACGCAATATCTCGCCTGCCTTAAAGGGGGACCTTTTCATTCATTTCGCGTTTTTACGTAGCTTTGATATTCACAGAAGCATATTCGTGACGTGAATCCCAAGTAGTGATTCCAGCCCAGCAGATTCAACAGAGCCTCCCTTTCCCGCCCAGTTACTTTTTTATTTGTAAGTGGAATAGATGTGAAAATCGGGCAGTACCGAGAAAAGTCCAAACGAGGCACCAATAATTTAAACGGTAGGAATTTTTTTTGAGAGGGTTGCTTACGAGAGAAGAGGAAAGTTGTGCGACAGCCGCGGTGGCGAAGCTGCGGAAGCGAATACGTGGCCGTGGC